ATAGATATAAAGCTATATCTCTATAATATCTATGTCTGTCTTATCCTTTATTTTTAAAGTGAGGTATATTATATTTGTATTTTAAGTGACCAACTTACATTTATGTCAATGACATCTTTCAAATCCTAGGTGATATATTGAATGTTAGAACCTTAGCACCTCACACATGGATGGCCCATAATTAATTTGCATCTTCCCAACATTATTTCAAACAGTGTTGCGGTCAGCATCCTTATTAGCACATACCTTTCTGTACTAGTGCTTTTATTCCAAGAGTGGATTCCTAGAAGTAGAATTGATTGATGTGCATTTAAAATTTAAATAGATACACCAGCTTACTTTCTCAAGAGGTCATAGTGTTCCTAATCCGCAGCAGCCTCTGAGCATGCATATTTCCTGCAGAATTTAAAAGATTTATAGATTTGTGGGGGTGGCTCCAGCTTTACTGATTTAGCATCTCTGGGAGTAGAGCCCAAGAATCTATATTTTTTGGAAACTCCACACGTGCTTCTGAAGATCTTCCCCATTTGGGAGGCCCCAGTCTAAGGCCGAATTGGTTGAAACAATAAATTAGTCAAAAGCAAACATTTTTCATCTAACACCTTTCACAGCCTGTTTGGCCATGTTTTCACGTTGCAATGCTGTGTCAGTGTAGACTGAGCCCCAGTAACAAAGAGTCGCACTATTTTAGCTGCCTGACACCACAGGGGTTTATTTCTCGCTCACTCAGTAGTTCAGGGTGGGTGTTCCTGGTGAGTGGGCATCTCCCCTTTCCCCCCGAGGTTCAGGGTCTTCCAGTCTTGTGGCCCCACCACCCTCCAGGGCCTCAGGGTCCTCTGCCTCCAGCCCACAGAAGGGGAGAGAGAGAATACAGAAGCGCACACTTGTTCTTCCTGGCCCTGGCCTGGAAATGGCCGACATCACTTCCTGTCACACCCTATTGGTCAGAACCTGTCACATGGCCGCACTTAACCGCAAAGGAGGCCGGGAAATGGAGTCGGCAGCGGGCTTGGGGCACACCCGAGACTAGCGTTCAGATGCGAAACGGGCTTTTCATAGTGGAATGTAAGCCCTTCGGGGCAGCCTTCCAGCACCAGCAGGACTTTCCACAGGCGCAGGTGTGGCTAGGACCTGCCGGTCCCTCAGCTTGACTAACTGTAACTGCAAAGCCTTTGCCTGAAAATGAATTTAAAAAAAGAAAGCAGGCAAAATCAACTCCGCAATACAGCAGACAGCCGTTAGAGTCACCCTACTGCACGCAGAAGTTATCAGCATATGAGGTAGCAGCTGGAAATGTTCATTTTGGATTGATTTGCTTTAGAGATGTTTTCTTAGGGCTGAATCAAAATTAATAACTCCAAGATAATATTTCTACATAAGCGCAGTATGGGAAATTGAAAATTAGAAATGCTAATTCATTATATACTGGCCTTTCTTTCTTATTCTTTTTACAAAAATGGGTTCATACTAGACATGTTCTGCATCTTGTTCTTTGTTGTTTTTTTTTTTTTCACTTAGCAATACACACTGAACATCTTTTTATGTAGGTCCTCATAGATGTGCCTCCCACCTTTTTAAATCTCTGTGTGGTATGCCCAGTAGGTATACGCACGTTCCCACCGTGGTGGGCAGATGGAGAGTTGCCGGGGTTTGGCTTTTTCATATGGTACCATGGTAAATATCCAGGTGCACATGGCTTTGTGTATTCACTCCAGGATAGCTGAGGGCTAGGTCCAAGGACCTGCACTGCTAGGCCACGGGTCCACCCCCTGATTTTCTATTGACTAAATTCTTTGCTTCCTGCCTGCCCACCACAGAGTTATGAGGAACAGGAGCTGCTGCGTCTCATCTACTATGGGGGCATCCAGCCCGAGATCCGCAAGGCTGTGTGGCCCTTCCTCCTGGGCCACTACCAGTTCGGGATGACGGAAACAGAAAGGAAGGAGGTTGGTTACCTGCTATAGGCAGTAGGATCTTTGGCAACAAAAGGAGCCAGACACTCTGAGGCTGGGGGAACTCTTTTCTCATGTCGGACCAAGAGGGATCCAGGAGATATGGGGGAGACAGGAACCTCCAGGTCAGTGCTGTCCAATAAAAATACAATCCAAGCTATGTATGTAATTTTTTTTTTTTTTTTGAGACAGGGTTTCACTCTGTCACCTAGGCTAGCATGCAGTGGCGTCATCATAGCTCACTGCAACCTCAAATGACTGGGCTCCAATAATCCTTTCACCTCAGCCTCCCAAAGTGCTAGGCATAAGCCACCATGCCCGGCCCATGTGTAATTTTTTAAATAAACGTTTTATTTTGAGATAACTGTAGAATCACATGCAGTTGTAAGAAATAACGCAGAAAAATGTCATGCATCCTTTACGCAATTTCTTCCAATGGTAACGTCCTGCCAAAACTGTGATGTAGAACGATATCGCAACCAGAGTATTGACATTGGTACAATATATAACCTTATTCAGATTTCCCCAGTTTTACCTGCACTCCTTTGTGTGTGTGTGTGTGTGTGTGTGTGTGTGTTTCATTCTCTACAATCTTCTCACATGTGGAGATTTGTGTCCACAACCAGAGTCAACACACAGAACATTTCTAATACTAGAAGGACTCCATCATATATTGTCCTTTTGTAGCCACACCCACCTCCTTCCACCCCAAACTCTGTCCCTAACTCCTGGAAACCACTAATAATATGTTTTCCATTTCTATAATTTTGTCATTTCAAGGATGTTGCATAAATAGAATCATACAGTGTATAACTTACTGGGATTGACTTTTTTTCACTCAGCATAAATCTCCAGAGACTCATCCAAGTTGTTGTTTGTATCAGGAGTTGATTCCTTTTTATGGCTGAGTAGTTTTCTGTGATATGGATGTACTACACTTTAACTATACATCTGTTGATGGCTATAACTAGATTGCTTCTAGTTTTTTGGCTATTACAAATAAAGCTGCAAAGAACATTCATGTACAGGATTTGGGGTGAGCATAAGTTGTCATTTCTCTGGGATACATGTGCAAGAATGCAATTTTTGGGTAGTTGCAATATGGTAGTTGCATGTTTGGTTTTATAAGAACCTGCCAAACTGTTGCAGTGGCTGTATCACTGCATGTTACCACCAGTGACATATGAATGATCTCCCCTTGCATCTTCACCAGAGTTTGATGTCGTCACTTGTTTACATTTTAGCCACTCTGATAATATGTAAATGATATTTCATTCTGGTTTTAATTTGCATTTCTCAAATGGCTAATGAGGTTGAACGTCTTTGCGTGCACTTATTTGCCATTGTCTGTCTTCTCCGGTGAAATGTCTGCTTGTGGCTTTTGTTCGTTTTCTAATTGGATTGCTTGATTTTTTACTGTCGCGCTTGAAAGTTCTTCATACACACTAGATAATAGTCTTTTGGCGAACATGTGGTTTGCAAATATTTTCTCCCAATCCGTAGCTTATCATTTTTTTAACAGGGTCTTTTGCAAAACAAATCTTTAAATTTCTGATGATGTTCAATTTAGCAATTTTTTCTTTTATGGATTGTGCTTTTGGTGTTAAGTCTAAGAACTTTTTGCCTAGCTCTAGAGCCTGAAGATCTTCTCCTACGTTTTTCCCTAAAATTTTTGTATTTTACATTCAATGTAGAATATTTTGAGTTCAGTTTTTACTCACGGGTGTCCAATTGCTCTAGCATCATTTGTTGATGTCTTTCCTCCACTGAATTGCTTTCACACCTTTGTCAAAAATCAGTTGGGCATATTTGTGTGTCTATTCTTGGGTTCTTTATTCTGTTCCATTAATCTATGTGTCTGTCCTTGTCCCAATACCACACTATCTTGATTATTGTAGAACTTTTATAATTTTAAATGTTTTAGTAGTTATATTTTAGGAAGTAAAAAGAAACAGATGCAATTAATATTTTAAAAGTTTTTATTTTGAAATATAGATGGTCCCCTACTTAAAATGGTTCAACTTACGAATTTTTGACTTTATGATGAGTTTATTGGGGTATCAACTGCATTTTTGACTTATGGTGTTTTTGATTTGCAATAGTTTTATCTGGACTAACTCCATTGTAGGTTAAAGAGTATCTGTAATCATAAACTCACAAGAAGTTGCAAAAATAATACAGAGGTCCTATGTACCCATCACCCAGCTTTCCCCGCTGGTAACATTTTATATAACTAGAGTGCACTGTCAAAACCAGAGGATTAACATTGACATGATACAACTAGCTGGATTATAGACCTTACTAAGATTTTGCCAGATTTTGCATCTGCTCGTGTTGTGTGCATGTGTGGTTCTATGACATTTCATCCAGGTGAAATTCATTTTAATAATATAATTTTTTAACCCAATATAGCCAATATATTTCCATTTCAACATGTAACCAATAGAACTATTAATGAGATAGTTTACATTCTTTTATTCATATTAAGTTTTCAAAATGTGGTGATATTTTACACTTCATATTCATGTACTGTACTATTACTTACTCAACATTTGTCTTTAAGTTGATTCACTTAAAATTTATATAACTTATTTTAAAATATATTCTACATTCCTTCCATCAATGGGAAGCCAATGTAACTTGACATAGAAGGAAACTATACAAATAAACAGAGTGAGACTAAATGATGTAATTCAGTTCTAACTAGCTGCTGTAATCTGCCCAAGGCCCACTTTCCCTTTGTT